CACCCCATGGTATCGTGCATGTTGCGTGTCTATTTTGTAGGCCACGTTACTACTCGGCTGTCAGCTGCGGCAGCTGTCGACCACCAGTACAGGGGACTGGTGGCCAACATTTCTAACTTTAGCCTCCAGCTTCCAATTCTCTCGTCCTATTTTCTAGATTTAAGGAGACTGTACTTGTCCGCCTTGTCTATTCCCCCCTCAGTATCTTGTATGTTGTGATCATGTCCTCTACGGTTGTGAGATCTAAGTCAGTTAATCTAGCCTAATAGCTAAATTAGCTCCAACACTAATATTTTCAAATTTCTACACAGACTTTTGTATCTGTGCTACAAGAGTTAGATCCCAAGCCATGCTGCATACTCCAGTACGGTTATCTTGAGATGATTGATGATGATTTCGGGGCTTAGCGTCCCCGCGGCCCGGTCCTCGACCAGGCCTTCCTTTTGTTACACACCCCCAGGAAGCAGCCCGTATCAGCTGTAACTCCCAAATTCCTATTTACTGCTAGTTGAACAGGGACATCAGTGAAAGAAACTCATTTGTTTCCGCCTCCACCGGGGATCGAACCCGGAACCTTAGGACTACGAATCTCGAGCGCTGTCCTTTCAGCCGTCAGGCCCCTGTTATGAGTCCGGTTGTATGGACTGCATTATAAGTCATTAGGGTTATTAAATAACACAGTAACGACTGAGAGCGGGTAGTCAGTCTGCCTCTGGTGGGAATGTTGACACTACACTCCTCAATATTTAACGTTACAATTCCTGTAAATTCCTGTAAATGAAGGTGGAGGTCCCTTCTGGCCTCCTCTCTCTCCCTCAGGCTGGACGGTAGAGCGACGGTCTCGCTTCATGCAGGTCGGCGTTCAATCCCCGACCATCCAAGTGGTTGGGCACCATTCCTTCCCCCGTCCAATCCCAAATCCTTATCCTGACCCTCCCAAGTGCTGAATAGTCGTAATGGCTTGGCGCTTTTCCCTGACAATTCCCTCCCTGGGCTCTCCCTACCCCATCCTCAGCACCTGGTGGCTGTCAGTTCTAGCACCTGTCTCCTCCCTCCTGGAGGCTCTCAAGGTCCCGTCTCAGGTTCTCCGAGGATTTCACTTTGCTCGTGAGCTGTGCGTCACGTGCAAGCATTGACATATACCAGTTTGTTAAGAGGCGAGATATCACTAACATTGATTTTATTTGGCACTTTATGTCGGGTATAAACATCATTTTGGTTATGTTATACTGCTTTTCCAGCTATCTTCTGTAACAATATGCCGATGTGGGGTGTGGCAGCATGCCCCGGGATCTCGGGGTCAGGTGTGGGGTGTGGCAGCATGCCCCGGGATCTCGGGGTCAGGTGTGGGGTGTGGCAGCATGCCCCGGGATCTCGGGGTCAGGTGTGGGGTGTGGCAGCATGCCCCGGGAACACGGGATCAGGTGTGGGGTGTGGCAGCATGCCCCGGGATCTCGGGGTCAGGTGTGGGGTGTGGCAGCATGCCCCGGGATCTCGGGGTCAGGTGTGGGGTGTGGCAGCATGCCCCGGGAACACGGGGTCAGGTGTGGGGTGTGGCAGCATGCCCCGGGAACTCGGGGTCAGGTGTGGGGTGTGGCAGCATGCCCCGGGAACACGGGGTCAGGTGTGGGGTGTGGCAGCATGCCCCGGGAACACGGGGTCAGGTGTGGGGTGTGGCAGCATTCCCCGGGAACACGGGGTCAGGTGTGGGGTGTGGCAGCATGCCCCGGGAACACGGGGTCAGGTGTGGGGTGTGGCAGCATGCCCCGGGATCTCGGGGTCAGGTGTGGGGTGTGGCAGCATGCCCCGGAGAACACGGGGTCAGGTGTGGGGTGTGGCAGCATGCCCCGGGATCTCGGGGTCAGGTGTGGGGTGTGGCAGCATGCCCCGGGAACACGGGGTCAGGTGTGGGGTGTGGCAGCATGCCCCGGGATCTCGGGGTCAGGTGTGGGGTGTGGCAGCATGCCCCGGGATCTCGGGGTCAGGTGTGGGGTGTGGCAGCATGCCCCGGGAGCTCGGGGTCAGGTGTGGGGTGTGGCAGCATGCCCCGGGATCTCGGGGTCAGGTGTGGGGTGTGGCAGCATGCCCCGGGATCTCGGGGTCAGGTGTGGGGTGTGGCAGCATGCCCCGGGATCTCGGGGTCAGGTGTGGGGTGTGGCAGCATGCCCCGGGAACACGGGGTCAGGTGTGGGGTGTGGCAGCATGCCCCGGGATCTCGGGGTCAGGTGTGGGGTGTGGCAGCATGCCCCGGGATCTCGGGGTCAGGTGTGGGGTGTGGCAGCATGCCCCGGGATCTCGGGGTCAGGTGTGGGGTGTGGCAGCATGCCCCGGGATCTCGGGGTCAGGTGTGGGGTGTGGCAGCATGCCCCGGGATCTCGGGGTCAGGTGTGGGGAGTGGCAGCATGCCCCGGGATCTCGGGGTCAGGTGTGGGAGCATGCCCCGGGATCTCGGGGTCAGGTGTGGGAGCATGCCCCGGGATCTCGGGGTCAGGTGTGGGGTATGGCAGCATGCCCCGGGAACACGGGATCAGGTGTGGGGTGTGGCAGCATGCCCCGGGAACACGGGATCAGGTGTGGGGTGTGGCAGCATGCCCCGGGAACACGGGATCAGGTGTGGGGTGTGGCAGCATGCCCCGGGAACACGGGATCAGGTGTGGGGTGTGGCAGCATGCCCCGGGAACACGGGGTCAGGTGTGGGGTGTGGCAGCATGCCCCGGGAACACGGGGTGGGGTGTGGGGTGCGGCCACCCCACACCCACCACAACACCTGTCCACCAACGCCCCCCCCCCCAACAACACCTGTCCACCCCCCCCCCCCCAACAACACCTGTCCACCCAACGCCCCCCCCCCCACAACACCTATCCACCCGACGCCCCCCCCCCCAACAACACCTGTCCACTCGGTAACAACCTAACAGCCTTCTGTATACAATGTACTTAACTTAAAAGACTAAACGAGTCATTAAAGATGAATCCTCCGGCCCCGGCGGTACACACAGGTGGTGTGAAGCATCAACAAGGCCAAGGCCAGCTGGAGGCTTGAGAGGTCAGCTGGTGTTGATGTAGCGAGGTCGGCCACAACGCTCCAGTTCTCCTATCACTCTTTCCAGATCTTTTTGAACTTTTTTGAAGTGTGAAAATTACTATATTTGTGTTGACGGGTTTAGTAGCTGGCGGCGGCAGTGTGTCACTGCCTCCAGCAGCCAGTCGACACACACCTGAACAGCCAGTCGACACACCTGAACAGCCAGTCGACACACCCACACGCCTGAACAGCCAGTCGACACACCCACACGCCTGAACAGCCAGTAGACACACACACCTGAACAGCCAGTCGACGCACGCCCACACACCTGAACAGCCAGTCGACACACCCACACGCCTGAACAGCCAGTCGACACACCCACACGCCTGAACAGCCAGTCGACACACACACCCTGAACAGCCAGTCGACGCACGCCCACACACCTGAACAGCCAGTCGACGCACGCCCACACACCTGAACAGCCAGTCGACGCACGCCCACACACCTGAACAGCCAGTCGACACACCCACACACCTGAACAGCCAGTCGACACCCACCCACACCTGAACAGCCAGTCGACACCCACCCACACACCTGAACAGCCAGTCGACGCACGCCCACACACCTGAACAGCCAGTCGACGCACGCCCACACACCTGAACAGCCAGTCGACACCCACCCACACACCTGAACAGCCAGTCGACGCACACCCACACACCTGAACAGCCAGTCGACACCCACCCACACACCTGAACAGCCAGTCGACACACACCCACACACCTGAACAGCCAGTCGACACCCACCCACACACCTGAACAGCCAGTCGACACCCACCCACACACCTGAACAGCCAGTCGACACCCACCCACACACCTGAACAGCCAGTCGACACACACCTGAACAGCCAGTCGACACACACCTGAACAGCCAGTCGACACACACCCACACACCTGAACAGCCAGTCGACACACACCCACACACCTGAACAGCCAGTCGACACACACCCACACGCCTGAACAGCCAGTCGACGCACGCCCACACACCTGAACAGCCAGTCGACGCACGCCCACACACCTGAACAGCCAGTCGACGCACGCCCACACACCTGAACAGCCAGTCGACGCACGCCCACACACCTGAACAGCCAGTCGACGCACGCCCACACACCTGAACAACCAGTCCATACACCCACACATTTGAACAACCAGTCGACACACCTACACCTGAACAACCAGTCGACACACCCACACCTGTTTACCTTTAACCCCTCCCCCCCCACACACCTGTCTACAATCGAGACACCCCCCCCACACACCTGTCTACCGTCGACACACCCACCTTCTCCATTACGTCGTTGAATTCATCACTAAGAGAGTGATGAATGTCTCCGCCACCGTAGACCTTGGGCAGAGTGGCAAATCCCCAGCGAGGTGGAGGAGGGTGCGCAGTGGGCAGGCGGTCGTGCCCCGCAGTGGGCCCGGAGTGCCCAAAGGTATCCGCACTCCTCACAAACACGAGGCCCCATGTAACCCCAGAGGAACCCACACTAGAGGGAGCGACTGGCTGGCTCTACACACTCACACTAGAGGCGCACTAGAGGCGCAGCACCAGCCAGCTTACCTGTACTCCCTTCCTTCCCCGCACTAACAAAACTTTTTTTTTTTAGTAAGACCGGCCATTCTTTCCTAGTACCTGGCGAGCAAACTGCACATGGCACAAGGCGCACAGTACCTCATAATTGTGTCACTATATTTTTGTCAATTTACAGGAGGTAAAAGAGGCAAGTTATCGGGAAATTACTAGAGAGGCGCCACTGGAGGTGGCGAGAGAGAGAGGAGGGGGACATCGGTATGCGGGAGGAGCTTGGCGTCCACAGCTGGGCCCCGCACGCCCCCTCCTCTCACTCTCCCTGCCCCACCACCGGCACCATCACTCGCCCAGGGCACAACACATCACGGCACTTGTTGCTACTGACGGCCACACTTTAGCCAGCACGAGCCACACAGATGAGGAGTGATGAGTTAACTCCAGCGTCCACTACACGACTGCCTCGCTGACCCACACACCCATTGTGCTCCCTCCCCGCCGCCACATGCACGATAACACCCACACACACTCACCTCAACACACCCACTACACACACCCTCCACTACACCAAACTCACGCATGATAATTTCAGCATTGAAAACACGACAGTGAAAACCCCAAAGCCAAACTGAGTCACTGGAGCACAGCAAGAATAAGGAGGTTTAGGATGGATCACTTCCCGCATCGACATCACTGAGCCAGCTGCCTGCCGGGACACTTTTTCCTAGTACGAACTACGACATCCTCGTCCATTGCTGGAAATCTAATACTCATATTTCCTATTTAATGCACGTTACCTGCGCTTACGTGTTTAAGCTATTAAGAGCCCTATAACGCGATAAAAACAGCCCATCATACATTAAGGCCGCATTAATTATATATAATTTGACCACATATGAAGGCGCAGCTTGGAGTATAACCAAGAACTCCGCCTCTGAAGATCAAGTATTCCTTAAGGTGTGCATCAAGCGACGTCTCGCTGGGTGTAATGTGATGGAGTGATCGTCCTGCAAAAACAGAGGAGGCGGGGCCAGCGGGTGCAACAACGGCGCGGGTCCCCACCGACACCCGGGAACTTTAAAACTCTTCCTCCCCCCCTCCCCCCCATCAGCCCCATCACCCCCTCCTTCACCTAACACAACCCCCTTCCCCCCTAACCCCCACCCGAGAGAAAACAGTTATGTTTCACATTTCTGCAGCCTGACCTACGGGCATAAGGCAGTCATGTGAGGTGTTGCAGGTTGCTGAGGGTGGGAGCGAGGGCGGAACACCGTAGGTGAAGGTGGTGGTGGGAGCCTGCCTGAGGGCGGCGCTGCTGGGGAGAGGAGCAGGTGGTGGTCGTCCCAGGAGGTGGCAGCGTCATTTCATGGTAGTGCAGCAGGGTTCCTTCACCATCAAGGAGGAGCGCTGAGCCTCCCGCCCCGCCTCATGGCTCCTCTTCACTAACTCATCAACGTGCCAACATGGCCGCCAACTATAAACGCTGAATACATTGACATGAATAACTATGCCTCGGGGTAAATATACACTCAGGTTACCTGCTAGATCCAATTAGTGTACTCTGCGCTCCCAAGTACATTGTTCGAAGAAATTAAATAAAGATAAATTACAGAAATCCGTGAAAAGCTAACATACAATGGGACCTGGGCGTGGACGTAACACCTAATCTAACTCCAGAAGCGCACATAAATAGGATAACGACAGCAGCGTACTCTACACTGGCAAAAGTTAGATCATCATTCAGAAACCTAAGTGAGGAGGCATTTAGGGCGCTTTACACTGCCTACATGAGGCCTGTCTAGAGTATGACGCCCCATCATGTCCCCATCTGAAGAAACATACAAGAAAACTGGAAAAGGTTCAGAAATTTGCGACGATCCGCGTCACAGAGTTACGAGGGATGGAATATGAAGTGCGCCGGAAGGAACTGAATCTTACTATACTAGAAAAAAAGAAGGGAAAGGGGGGATATTGTAAGAACGTATAAAATATTCAGGGGAATTGACAGGTTAGAAATAGATGAAATATTTATACGGAATACTAACAGAACGAGAGGATATGTGTGGAAGTTTTCTTTTAGCGTGAGAGTAGTGGAAAAATTTAATGCACTTAAGAAGCAGGTTGTGATAAGAAACTCTATTCATAATTCTAAAACTAGGTATGATAGGGAAATGGGACAGGAGTCATTGCTGTAAACAACCCATGGTTAGAATGGCGGGATCTAAGATGATCATACCTCTCAGGATCAATTCTATAGTATGACTGCAGAGTTTCTTGTCCGAAACTCTGAAGTTTCGGACAATGGAAAAATTTGTGCTAGCTCGATCCTGCAAGCACAAAAAGGTGAGTACACACACACACACACACACACACACACACACACACACACACACACACACACACACACACACACACACACACACACACACACACACACAGACAGATAGAGAGAGAGGGCGAGGGGGGAGGAAGAGAGAGGGGGGGAGATTATTATTTATTTATTTTTTGTACGAGAGAAAGAAAAAGAGAAAAAAAGAAAAAAAGAGGAAGAGAGATAGAGATAAAGAGAGAGAGGAGGGGCCTCACGTCTCAACCCGTCCTCGACTCAAGTCCATTACATCCAGCAGCCGTACAGTGCCTGTAAACATATATCATCAGCATAACAAATGACAGTGTCTTCATTATTAGTTGGAAGATCTTTAATAACTGATGCATAAACTTATTAAAGATCTTCCAACTAATAATGAAGACAGTCATTTGTTATGCTGATGATATATGTTTACAGGCTGCCACCGAGCCTAGAATGCAAGTTCTGCTCGACGCTTTTGCTACTAGAGCTGAGGAATGTGGCCTCCTTATCTCTGTACAGAAAACTCGTGCCCTCATTCCATGTGGTATTCCACCAGCCAATTATCATATAGATGGGCGAGCACTTGAGAACTGCGAGTCTTACAGATACCTTGGTGTCCCCATTAACGACCCTGGGTACCTTTCTTCTCTCAAGAGGAGACTTTGGGAGAGATTAAAGCCCTTGCGGGTCCTTGTTGGTGTCAATCATGGGCTTAACGTGAGACTTGCTAGAATGTTTTATGTATCATTTATACGCTCTGTGATTGACTACAATGCTCTACATCTCACACTGTATACTGACAAAGAGCTGAAATCTCTTGAAACCTTGCAAAATGAAGCTATGCGTCTCATCCTTGGGGCTCCAAAGTCCACGAGAATAGTTAACATGAGAGCAGAGTTAAAATTACCTACCATAAGTGAGAGAATCTTGTCTATTAGCACAGTTTTCGGCGTGAAGGCATTGAGTAGATCTAGACAACACATGAAGTTTCAAGCTAAACTTTCTAATATGCTGCACTCACCTGAGGTCTATAGAAGAAGAACGAAATCTGATTATGTATATTGGTTCTACAAGGTAGCCAACTCCATCAAAATATTAAATATGTACCCAACTCGACTAATGATTAATCAGCCAATTACTCCATGGGATAACTGGGATCTATCAGTTGATTTTGTAAATGCGCCCAAGAAAGATAGTGTGCACACTACATTGTTAAAACAGTTAACACTGAAAAGCATCACTGAAAGTACTCAGAGTATGGGTAACGATGTTTATCAGTGCTATACCGACGGCTCTGTAGAAGAAGGTGGACGATGTACCGGATGTGCATGTAACATATTTGAACAATCTTCTCTCGTACATACAGCAATGAAGCGCGTCAATGACTGGGCAAGTACAACTCAAACCGAACTTGCAGGCATATACCTTGCCACTGAATTTTTAAAAGACAAAGGCAGTGGACTTATATACTGTGACTCGCAGAGTGCACTCCTGGCATTGAACGCACATAGTAGTGACACCCAGAAAATAGTCAGTGATATTCGAATGAATGTTTTAGCTGCCAAAGAAAACAGATTTGAGATTAAATTCCTATGGATACCATCACATGTTGGCATCTCAAGGCATGACACTGTTGATATGCTTGCTAAGTCAGCTTGCAGAAAACCAGTGGTAGAAATTGATATGGGTGTTTCATTAGCAGTGACAAAGAGAATACTTAAACAAATATCTAATGAAAATCTCACCGACCTAACAAATTCTCAAAGACCTGAAAGTTGTAGCATTAAATATTATGATAGATATCGTGAGGAGACATTCACATATGGGACTAATAGAACAAGAACCCGGCAATGTGATGTTATAGTGGCCAGAATACGCCTGGGATATAGACGTATCTGGCAGCTTTCTCAAAACCCAAATGTCGAGTACACAATGTGTCAACTTTGTGAAAGAGAAAACATGCACTCTCTTGAACATTATATTGTAGAATGTCCCATACTGACTGACTTTCGCCCTCCTGGGCTAAGGTATGCTGAACTCTGTAGTTACTATGAGTACTGGAACACTTGATGATATATTGGACTTGTATCCAAAATTGACCATGTAATGTATCAATCATACAATGTATGTATGTGATGTAACTATATAACCTGAGCTTGTAAAAGCACCTTCATCACCTTCAGTGATTAAGTGCTTAATTGCACACTAGTTTCTTTATCAGCTACCTCACCCTGTCAGGGTAAATGAGACAAATGTATGTGAATGCATGTATGTGTGTATATATGTATGTGTATGTGTGTGTGTGTATGTAAGAACGTATAAAATATTCAGGGGAATTGACAGGTTAGAAATAGATGAAATATTTATACGGAATACTAACAGAACGAGAGGATATGTGTGGAAGTTTTCTTTTAGCGTGAGAGTAGTGGAAAAATTTAATGCACTTAAGAAGCAGGTTGTGATAAGAAACTCTATTCATAATTCTAAAACTAGGTATGATAGGGAAATGGGACAGGAGTCATTGCTGTAAACAACCCATGGTTAGAATGGCGGGATCTAAGATGATCATACCTCTCAGGATCAATTCTATAGTATGACTGCAGAGTTTTCTTGTCCGAAACTCTGAAGTTTCGGACAATGGAAAAATTTGTGCTAGCTCGATCCTGCAAGCACAAAAAGGTGAGTACACACACACACACACACACACACACACACCACACACACACACACACACACACACACACACACACACACACACACACACACACACACAGACAGATAGAGAGAGAGGGCGAGGGGGAGGAAGAGAGAGGGGGGGAGATTATTATTTATTTATTTTTGTACGAGAGAAAGAAAAAGAGAAAAAAATAAAAAAAGAGGAAGAGAGATAGAGATAAAGAGAGAGAGGAGGGTCCTCACGTCTCAACCCGTCCTCGACTCAAGTCCATTACATCCAGCAGCCGTACAGTGCCTGTAAACATATATCATCAGCATAACAAATGACAGTGTCTTCATTATTAGTTGGAAGATCTTTAATAACTGATGCATAAACTTATTAAAGATCTTCCAACTAATAATGAAGACAGTCATTTGTTATGCTGATGATATATGTTTACAGGCTGC